GAAAAAATAAAGTGCTACTGTGTTTTCTTGGTTTCTTTCAAATCTTCAAGGAGATCCCAAAGGGCTCCTGTGCTCACATGAAACTGAATTTTCACAGGTTATGAGATGGCTAAGTTATATTCACAGTTATATCTGCCTAAACCAAAGAAAGTCACTTGTAGTAGGCAGAGCTACTGACTTAAACACCTTGGATCTGACAGGGAATTCAGATCAGTTTCTGAAAACTGACTTTGTAATTTTGGTATCACAGCATTGCCAAAGGACTAGAGGTTCTAAATTTAAAATCTTATAGAACATGAAGTCCCAGCCTCCTTTGTTTATTAAAGACCAGTTAATCTTTCGTAAAGGTTTTGAATCAGTACTCTTAATATCATGGGAAGTGATTACCCCCTCTATACTCACTCTAAACCATGCTGTCTCTCAAAAAGAAGTGCTACTGAAGTGCAAAGTCTAATAATTGTTACAGGTAGCAGATATAATATTAAGTAGGTCTTGACAAAGGATTAATAGCAGGGGTGCTGCACTGCAGGACTGAGGCAGGTAACCAAATGAGTAAATGTCAAATGAAGGATTATCCTCATTTGATGCTCTTTCACACATCTCCTTTCTGAATAATCTCTCCCAGCTGAGACCTAAACCAGGTGTTTTCAAATGCACAAAGTAGAAGCTCTACCTGGTGTGCAAAAGGAGATCCACTATTAGCTGTCAGCAGGAGCGTCATCTCCTTTTCAAGTACTCAGCCAGTAGTCAGGATACAGCACTACACTGCCAGCTGACAATGGCACAGCACCTGCCCAGCGGAGCTCTCTCTGGATTGTGCTGAACTACTAGTATTTATTATTCGATCCACAGTAGTACCCATGTCAAAGACCAGAGCACTTCTGTGCTTGACTTTGTACAAACAGAGACCAAAATGTGGCTCTTTTCACCTGATTCCATCCTCAGCATCCCACAGGGCTCATACAGAGGATCCAATGCAGAAAAGCTGCACGAAGCACAGGATGTAATCTTTCAGCCTCTTCTTTCAGCCTCTTTTTTTAGCCAGTGAGGTCCTTGAGACACTTTCTTAACACAAATAGTATCTTTGCAAAAACAGGTGTAAAAGAGCATTGAACCCACAAATTAAACATACCAGAAGTAACCCTGCCCATATCTTCATCTGCTGACTCAGCAGCTTTTAGTTATGTGACAGCACACCCCTTTCCCCCTCTGCATGATTCTTAACTCATTCAGTCCACAAAACACACTCTTCAGCAAGAGGCCCTCTGTTACTTTTCTTCTCTGTGCCCAGAGTAATGCCCATAGGCCTTCCTTCCCTTGTATTTAAACCATCAGTGACTAAATAATTACTGACACCCTCCTGAGCTTCTTCACTGTGCTCATCACTGTATAATCTAATTGCTTCACAAAACATTAATGCTTTCAACCTCCCTCTGAGGATCCATTTTGCACAGGAACATGAATCAAAGAAAGATGGAAGCAAAAATGTCACTCTTTGTGGTTGCCCAATTTCAGGCAAGAAGATCTGGGCTAGTTAACATGACACAGTAGACGAAATGTTCAAAACAGCTGTCAGTATCTTCAAGTCATGGCTGTGAGCAATTTGACTCCTCTGCAAAATTAAGAGTGGTGGGCTGGGACTGCAGAAGACAAACTGAGCCTGGTGGTCACTTCTGACTAGTTCAGTTTGCCCAGCATCAGTCTGGAATTGTGTTGCAAGAGCACAATCTACCCTCCAGGCAGCAAACAACCAGGTACAAGGCTCCCTCCTCTTTTAGGCTGCCTTGGACAGGTGAGACAGTGTCCTGCGGCTCTCACTGATCCACAGAGGATGCTCAGGCTGTTCAGGCTGTGCATTGAAGAAGACAGGGGCCCTATAAATACTGTGGAACCCTGAAGTTAAAGATGGTATCAGAGCACAATCACAAGGGGGCAGTACCTCCATTCTCTGAATGAGCGGCTTCTGTGTGCTTTATTTTGCAGCCTTTTCTTTCTTCTGCTGCAAGTCTATGTTGTGTTATAGAAAGGCATTTTGTGCCAACTTGCTTAGCCTGTACAGTTTCTGGGCTGACTCCTGTTTCCTCTAAAGACTGCTTTCTGTTTCACAAAACTGTTATGGCTGGACAGACAGCTGAGCCTCCACAGGCTTCCCAAGGAGGGACCAGAACTGCAGCTGCAGGGAAAGGTCCTCCTCCCTATCTGTGGGCCCTGGACTGGAACATGCCGAGTGCTTAGTTTATTTAACACATGCTAATAGAAACCTCTTAAGGGCTTATCACTTGACTAAATGGGACAATTTCTCAAGAACAGCAAAGATTACATCTACATCATCTAGGCAACATTCTTGGCAAAGTTCAGCTTCCCAGTAAAAAGGCAATAGTTCTTCTAGTTTGTAGAGTTAAATATCTTTTTCCCTAACTTCATTTGAATAAATTAATAACCTTGCCGATGTTTTTTTGAAATATTCAGCATTAGACAGGTATTTACCATGAAAAATGCTGTCAAGTGTAAACTACTTGGACTAAGTTAAAAAACATAGGAAACAATACCAAGATGTAGAAGGACTGTGTAATGTTAAGTATAGCTTATGCTACTGATACTATCAAAAGTAGAAATTCTTTCTGTCTTGCAATTCCATCTAGTGGCTTGCTGAATGGTACCATTTTCTTGCAGCAACTCCAGTGATGTTAACCTGCAAGTTTCCAGAAGCTGGGATTTTACACCAGGAAATGTTTTTTTTCTAGACTTTGATCACAGTTGCTGATAGGATATCAAATGGGATGAACCTATGGTTTTATTCAACGCAACAGTTCTTGTGCTGAATGCATTATTTGCAAGACAGTGAATATTAAATTAGGTTTTACTGACAGTCCTGTTGGCATTTAGTCTTGGAATTTATTAAGGCAATGAAATGTGGTTTGGGTTTAATATCTTACATCAGTGTTTATTTTGGTTTATATAGACAGATTCACACAGGAGAAGTTAAAAGGCATCAACAGAGGTGAGTTGCAAAGCAGGAAGAAGAGCTCTCCCTTTCCTTCCTTTCAGTTGAGAAGAATGGACGTGTACATTTCCAACTGTGCATGGTGAATGGACATATTCTAATAAAAATGATTTTAAAAAATCTTAATTCAAAATTATGTGAAATTTTGGCTTATGCATTCCTGGGAAGTATAATCAGAAAGGGCTGAAAGCTTTGGTCAACCACAGGTTCAGTCACACAAGCACTGCTCCCTTCAGTGACACCAGTTCACAAGACTCACTTCGAAGACTCCTAGCATCCTTACTAAGTCTTTGCCCACAACTCCCTCCAGTTCCACAACTGTCTTCAACAAAACCATTCATCTGACTTCAGCTTTGCTTTGGAAGAGTAAAAGGAGAGAAGACTTACTCCACTATAGGGACTATGCCAACTTTCATACACTATTTGCTTTACCACAGTTGCAAGCTATGGGAAAGGAGTTTAGTTATTAAGTGCCATCCTATCTTAATGACAGTGCAGATAGCACACCTCCACTGCTGCCAGACATTGACATAAATCACATTCTTCATTAAGGAGCTTCATAACTGGGACCATGGCTCCGCTGACTGCCAAACTGTATTGAGAGCAATACCTGTACATGTGAAATACCACACAGCTACTCAAGTACATCAGAGCTACCAAGCATGACTATTTAAAAGTGTAAAAAAAGGAAAACACAGTACCTACACTAATACCAATATTTGCAGTGCTGTTGCTTTCAGAATTTGTCAGGCTCATGGTTTCTAACAAACCAGTTGTGTGCCCTGTCTTCTACAGGAGTAAAAACCCCCATAGCCTATTTTCAAAGCTGTAAATGTGTCATTTTTGCCACAGAGGCATTTCACAGATTTCACAGAATATTCTGAGTTAGATGGGACCCACGAGGCTCATCAAGTCTGACTTTTTAAGTGAATGGCCCATACAGGGGCCTGACCTTGGTAATGTTTTTGAGCCTCGCCTAAAAATGGGTGCCTCATCTCAATAAACTGATGTAGGGACTTATTCCTTTGCCTCATTGCAAATTGAAGGTGGAAGCTGCTTTTAATCCAGGGCCCAGAAGCGCTCTTCAAGGGTTATAAATACAAGCCCAATATTTTCTGACACTTTGGAGAGGTGGGGAATTTTTTTAGAATACCAAAGGAGCTTTTCTCAGATAACATATAGCCATACCGCAAATACAAACATGTTCTGCAGTTGCATCTCCATTTTTCCTGCTGCAGTTCTTGATTTTCTTCCTCTCCTTTTTTTCTTTTTACATTACTCCTTTAGTTCCCTCACTTTTGTGCCCTATTTGCTTCCCTTTTCTGTACAACTTCTGTCCATCTCATTTGCTACTCTGCTCTTCTGCCTCCAGAACAACCGTTCCTGACTGTTTTCTTGCACACACAAGTGAAGCAGCCAAGTGAAAATCACAGTATTTCTGATGACATTACTTCCTTGGTACCAATAAAAAAAAATTAGCCAGAGAATTTCAAATCTTTCAATACATGGGAAAAAAAAAACAACTTTTGAATACCCAAAAGTTAAAGCCAAACATTTGGATTGAACAGTACCATATTTCTCTTCTTTACTTTCTGATGATTGTAATGTAGGAACATTTCACTGTCCACCATATCTATGGGCAGAAGAAACCAAGTGACTTAAGTCACAAACCTATCCTAGAGTTTCTTCTCTGAAAACAGATTACTGGACACACAAACACACACTGTTCCTGCTGGTTAGACAAAACATTACCAGCACTGGACAATCATAGGCCAAAAAGTTCCTTGTGGCTACCTTTCTGAACAAGAAAAAAATAATTTTACACCTTAAATTAAGCTCCGATGAATATACATTATAAAAACTGCAAAATGTACCATATTCACAAAAAAAAACCCCACCCCACAAGTTACTTAAAAATGTGAGTATACATTAATATTTGGGTGTGTGTGACACATAAATGAGAATATGCAATTCAGGTAGCAAATACAATTCTTACCTTATTGCACTTGCAGATAAGTGGCCATAAGAACCACTGGCTGATGAACTGCTACGAGAATTATTGAGAATTGTGACCAAGGAATTTGGAGATGTCCGTATCATGGTCTGAAGGTCAAAGCTGTGGTCAGACAGGGGGGATATGGACAGCGTGCGCTTTCGGCTCGGTCTAGCTGACAACCTCGGACTCGGAAACCTGGCGCCTGTTATGTAAACACAAATAATTATCCACCAGGGCACTTCATTGGATTTATTTGTTATCAGTCATGGGTAGAGGGAGACACCAGCACACTGTGACAAGCCCGCTTTCTTCATTTGTGATCTACTGGCCACGATTGAGGAAAATTAGGAAGAAAAATCTTTCTTCCTATGGCTTACCTCAGGGGAGTTCTGTTTATTAATGTGCAAGCAAAATGATAAATGGCTAAACAAAAGGAAAAGACTTTTATGCGTTATCCCTCTCATTTCTAGTGATTTATGAATGTGATGGCTTCTTAGACATTCACATCATTAATTCAACCATGAGCAATGAGGCAGTGGTTCAGATCTGGGATACCAGCAAGCCCAAACCCACAACACTTTAATACATACAGCCAAACCTACACATGTCAAATAAAGTATAGAAATGAAGAGGCAGCTTTCCCTCTGTTGACCATAATTCTGCCAGGTATTTGATGTAAAACTAAAAATCAGGACTGAAACAAACACTAAAAGGGCCAGCTCTATCAGCAGAATTCAGATTGACATTCAGAGCATTAAAATGAGAAACAGTAGGCTTTATTTGAATTTGTCCAAGATCCTATGATATTCTTTTCCTGCGATGGGGTGTATAGGGGCCTACAACAGCTAAATTTCTTTAAAAATGGAGATTAGATTTTCAAAGCAGCAAAGTGAAGGCAAACATACAGATACCACTTAAATAAATAAACATTATGTTTCTAAATTTTATGTCCTGTTCTGAAAATCTCTGCCTCTTCTGATCTATTTTACCATGTCATCTCAACTCTCTGCAGTCCTGACAGAAGATATATCACCTTACATTTATTGCCTTTATTTAATTATTTTCTATCTTGGTTGAGTGTAAGGAGAGAATTAGCTTCCCCACTGCACACTGAACAATTTCCTTTAACAGTACTGCTGCTTCTACCTTTTTAATCCCTTTAACCTGTAGTAAAGGACTGAATCCTAATGATCCTGACAGCCAGGGTCATGCACGTCTTGGGTTTGATGCAGCTTTGCAGCTGCATCAAACTTTACAGCTACTTCTCCTAGAGTCCCCGACATTCTCTTTAACTTGCTAACAGTTCACAGTTGGCCACAAGCATCCAGTACAGGTCTGCCTTTCTTAACATCTTTGCACCCAGAATCTTTTTTTTTTTTGCAGGGTGTTTAAGCTTACATGTCTAACAATAACCAGGAGAAGAGCCCAAATTACTCTAATTAGACTCATCTCAAGATCAGAGCTAGATTAGAATCTATTAGTATGCTTTCTTACACACCTGAGTGGGTTTCCCTTCTTTCTGTGCATGCTAGCCAAGATTTTAATACAGTATCAGGGGCTGCCATTTAATTGCTATTGTGACTGTATGATCAGATCTCCATTTATAATCCTTATCCTCTTTGGCATCTCAGTAATACAGAGTTTTGTTCCTTCCTTCTCTGTCTCCAGAATAAGCCTTAGTCCATACAGCTTCAGCCTTTCAATGAATATTCAAGCTCTTGATTAATCATTTAAAATTTAGGTATATCCATTTATTTGTAAAACCTACCACATGCTATTTTTTTGTAATCCGTTTTATCTCCTTTTCAGGAGCTTGCTATTCTACTGTGCCTGATATTTTATTAGTGCTGTGCTTCATGTCTTTCAAAGGCAGAGATCTTTTACTTGTACTAAAATAAGAAACAACAATGATCAGCAGCTATAAGAAACTGCAATATATCTAACAAGGAAATACAACATACACGTCACGGTAAAAAAAAAAATAGTAGTAATTTGCACTTGCATCTTTAATCCACAATTCTTCTCTACTGACTGTTCAGCTGGAATGAATTAAAACAATGCCTCTGAAGTTAGTGCTTGTAATGTAATTTACCCCAGATAAGGATACAATTCAAGTGCTTTATCATGGTTTTACAAGGGCATAGCTAAGTGCAGACCTTATACTCCCTGCAGCGTCCTGCACAGTCTCAAGAACTGTACAGACTTCCCTCCTCCTCACCCTTTCTGGACTGAACCAGTCTCCTTTACCCCTTGCCTAAGTCATGCTATGGCTCTTGCATGTCTCCCACTGCTTGCTACACCTTCACCTTGCCTGCCAGCTGCTGCCAGGGCATCCCTGTGTCCCCACAGGATGCACCAGACCTGTGGCCAGAGATGGAGAAAGACACTCCTGTCAGGGGCAGCGCCAGGCGTTGAGCCATGCATACAGTAGTCTCAGGCTTCCTCTACTTCTCCAGACAGCACCTGTTTCAGGCCCCATCTAGCTCTGGGAATTCAGCAGCCCCCTCCATCAACCTACGACAGGAACAATCTCCTAAGGGAGATTTTGCAGGATCCTGCAAAAAGGGAACATTTCTGCTTCAGCCAGGCAAGAGCTCTACCGAGTTTGAGCACAGGAAGCAGGGATTCAATTCAAGGGGGGCCACAACTTCTAAAACTGAAAATACAATTGAATGGAATTACTGTTTCACCCTATCTTTGTGGTTTAATTAGATCTCACATGCCTAAAAAGTCTTTAGCATGAGATGGCCACTCATTACAGGACATTTGTTTAACCATTCATTCAGCATAACATGAATTTGTTAGTATGCTACTATAAAAAGGAGTAGGTCACAATTTGTCCGTGCCTCTGAATACTAAACCAAACTTTCCAGCCTTGCCCAGCATTCATTAAAAACAAACACTTCAATATTTATTTAGCAATTTGAGGTGTTCATCTGCTCACAGTGCTCTCCCACTAAAGTATTACATTCCCTACTCAATAATGCTTTAAAATCAGAAAATGAAGGAGTACTGATTCACTAAAAATCCATTTACCTCTGTGGAAGTGCTGATAAAAAACCACCAGCTTTGGCAAACCACGCAAATGGAAGTTGACAGTGAAGATTTACTTAAAAATGTCACCCTTTATGAGTAGACATTATCGAAATAAAAAGTCACTAGTAGAGAGTAAAGACTCGAGTGTGCCAACAAAAAATCCAGCAGGTGTCAGAAGAAAAGATCTTATTCTGACGTGGAGATCAATTCTAAAATAACAGATATCTATCTCCATCATAAATTTCAAAAATGGAATATGCCATCCAGCAAATTTGTCCATGAATTTGATTTCTGAGTTGAAGTTTTTAGCATTGCTTAATCATTTATAAGGCAATCTTCAGACATGTATCATTTATTCCATCCCTTTAAATCAAACTTCATCAAACCTTTTTTACTCCCTTCCTTTAAATCAAATTTCTTTGAACATGTCTCAGGCACTGGTCTCTATTGAAGGCCATGAACATGGGACATTTAGAGGGGATGGCTTTAAAGTAAAACCTTTTTTCTTTCTCTTCCTTCTGCCTTCTGCTTACAGATGTGTAAAAACTTTGTTTTCACTTTATAAAAGTTTATCATAAATTTTGTCTTAGTTTTCAAAATGATAAATCTATCATCAGGATAAGAGAAGGAATGGCTTTGATACTCCACCCTCATTCTCCAACGGTGCTTTGACAAACAGAAACCAAACCTAGTCCAAAGCTTCTCACTCTGGCTTAACTCTCCAGGCTGGTGTTTGGGTCGGGCTGAGATGACATTCTTTTTTTTCCCACTGCAGCTTTCACGGTGCTGTGCTTTGCAGTGGCAGCTGCAAAGAAGTTTTGGCTGCTGCTGAGCACTGCTGGCACAGCACTGTCTTCCAACATTCTCCCCATCAGTAGGCTGGAAGTCAGCAAGATCCTGGGAGGGGACACAACCAGGCCTGCTGACCCAAACTGACCAAAGGGATATTCCACACCATATGATGTCAGCTCAGACATAATGGTTAAGAAAAGGAGCGGGTGAGGGAACATTCATTCATTACAATATTTGCCTTCCAGAGCAACCCCTCCATGTGCTGGAACCCCGCTTCCCAGGAAGTGCACAGACATTGCTTGCTCATAGGAAGTAGAGAATAAAATTGTTTGTTTTCTCTTTGCTTCTGTACATGCCATCTTTCACTTTTGCCTGAGTTAACTGCCTTATCTCAACCTACAAGTTGTTTTCCATCTGTTTTTCTCTCCCACGTCCAGCTGAGAAGAGGAACTGATAGAGCAGTTTGGTGAGCACCTGACATCCAGCCAAGGTCAACGCACCACAGCTGCCCAAACTCTTTAGGTCAGCTGGGTCAGAGTCTCTAATGGCAAAAGGAGTAAGTCATTATCAAATACCTTTGAAAAAGAGAAAACTCCTGTTCTGAGTGAGGATAGACAAGAGTAAATCTGAGTGAGGTTATTAATACTTTGGACTCTTGAAACCTCAGTGAACATGTTTGTGTTCCACTGAACCTCATTTAGGAGAGTAGAACATATTCCCCAAATGAAAAATGCACCTATCAACCCAAAAGACAGTGATTTTTAAAATTATAGTGCTTAAAGACAATTTTGGCATTCAGCATCTTTACGGCCCCAACAAGTAATTTCAGTTGTTGCTACTGTGGTGCTGTCAATAACTTCCATACCCACTCCACTCCTATTTTGACGCTATACTTGAAGGTAACAAATCTGATATTTTTTGGACAAGCAAGAAGATGGCATGGCTTGCTCAGGGTCTCTGGTCACCAAAACTGTAGAAAAGCTTTATAGCAGCAGAGAAAATTTTGGTCCAGTTTTCATGCCACTCAGGACATGAGGAAGAAGAATTACAATTAAGCATGCATAATCTTGGTTTTAGTCTTCTGCAATGTATTAGACTGTTAATGGACAGTGAAGTTCAGAGCTTCAAGAAGTCTCCTGCTCCTTGGATAAGATTTACCTCTGATTAACAATTCTCCCACTCCTGTAATCCCCATTTGAAATCAGTTTTCCAGCACCACAGAGCAAAATAGAAAACCCCAAACTGCATATACTGTATGGAACTCAGTGTATGTTGGCATTGGAATTATTTGCACTACAGGAGGGGATAGAGATTCCAAATTTCTGTGCTAGATGCTGTATAAGCATACAATTAGGAAACAGAATTGCTTTACAAAAGAAGAACAATGTCTTGCTTGTATCTATTTGGTTGTTGTGTGGGATAAATGAGCAGCAGCCTTTCAGTCAGTTGAGTCAACTTGCTCAGAATTTGATAGCATATAATGAGGGAAGCTACTCAAGTGTCTTCTGCTTCCTTTGACAAGATTGGGCAAAGGCGAAAGACTAGTTTTAAGATAACCATACAAATCCTTAAGAAGAAAGATCCAAACAAATGGCATTACTTCCAACTGATCACTGTATTCTGTTATTAAATGCATACATGGGCATTGTTACTGGGGATTTTTATAAAGTCTTAATATCAAGTTCCTGCTAATTGTTTTGTTCTCGTTTCTAATCTAAAAATCTGACAAAGAAGAAAGGAGTTTTCTTTTGCATGATGAATGATAGGACATTCAGCTTCCTACTTAATGACAATTAATTTACTGTATACCCATGCAAGTTAAGATAGTTTTAATTAGTTTTTACAAAGTAAAAGGGTAGCTTCATACTCTATTTAGATAAAAGCAGCTATTGCCTGACTAAACACATTCTCATCAAATACAGAAGGTGAGCTGAGTGACCTTACTACGATTCACTCATTTTAATTCTCTATTTACTGTTTAAAAATAACCCATTTGCATAATAGTGCAGTTTTTGTCTCTAACTCTGAAAAAATGCCTAATTGAAAAGTTGCTGGTATAATTAATCTTAAATGTGTGATCTTAATTTTTAAAAACAAACATAAAACAAATTAAAGTGTGCATTTGAAATGTATCCTAGCTAGAGCTGGTGAACACAAATAGTTTAGTTACCTTTTATGAATGGGATGAAATTATGGGCAAAGGTCAAAACATTTCCTGTTAAGTAAGAAGTGATAACATTCTTGGGATAGAAAAGATGTAATTCTATGCAGATTACAACATATACAATCTCTATTAACACAGGAAGATCCTTCTGCAAATGCCATTATTTGTATGAGTACTGCAAAGTCATCTGGTTTTCGCAAGTTTTCTGGCGAATATATGGGTATCTACTTTTCTAAAGGCTGAATAAACCCATTAGATCAAATCTGCATCCAAGAATGCAGTTTGGTACTGCTATTTATGTGCATTCAGACACACTCTCTCACAGTAGGAACCAAACCCCTTGACAATTTAAAATATCCCTGCTCATTACATGTGAAGTTTTAGTAGATGACCTTTAAAGTTCCCTTACAACCCAAACTATTCTATAATTCTATGATCCTTTTCAAGGAAGACACGCCCATTCATGCAAGCTGGGGATTTGTCCTTGCAGCTGGAACACAGCAGCAAATTTACATTACCTGAATCATGTTTAACAGTGCTTCCATTCTGCAAGGTATTTTTAATAGGCATACAGTGTTTAGCAGTGTGCCTCATCTCCCCCTATCTCTCTCAAAATCCAAATCAGGAAGTATCATATACTTAAGCTTTCAAGTACCTAAATCTGCACATTAATTTCTGGTTTAAGTCCAGACTACTTGCATGAATTTATTGTGCTTCTGCAGTGTGCTCAAGGTATGTTACAGTAAATTCTTTATGCATACTACTGGTACAGTGAGACTGATAATAGAAAATTAATCTTAAAAATCCTTCATTAGCAAGGAAACAGAATGAAAAAAAATCCTACCTGTACAGTTTCACAACTGTCTTGCCTGACTCTGATAAAAATTATTGGTCAATCAAGTACTTCACATTCCAAGGCATGTGTTCTGCAGGGCTAGCTATATATATTCCTATATATCCCAGAGGTTAACTGCCCAACACCCACGTTCCTTGAGATCACCAACTATGGTGTGCAGCAACAGCAGGAAGAAGAAATTGCATGTAAACAAAAAGTTTAAAATTCTACAGGAAAATACGGTTGTCTAACACTATTGTATTGGTCTGTACTACCAAGTACAGTCAACATCACCACCCTTTCTTGCCAGCATTTTTTATTGCCCTCATCAGAAGGAACAGAGTCTATCCTGAAAAGCATGTAAGCATCTATGACTCAAGGGGAATGTTCTGCAAATCCCTTCTGTCTGATCAAAAGAAGCAGTAGCAAGCAATTTGCAATGGGGTCCTCTCTTTTCCTCCTTCAACAGAGAAACAGAGACAGATTAGAGGACTGAAAGATACTGAGTGGATAAAGAAGGCTCTTAATATTATGGAAATGTTATGGAAAACTAAGTCGGGATCTTTGAGAATTAAGCAACTGCTTCACTTTACTAGTGGTCGCTGGTCTATTGGTCTATGATACACAACTTGTAAGTGCAGCTAGCACTCTCTGAAAGGTGCAGGGCATGCTCTCCTAACAGAAAAACAGATGTAAACTTTCTGTTAACAGAGAGCTCATCAGAGAAATACTCAGCCTATGAAAGTGAGTTACTGATTGCAATAGAATAGGACAATTTCAAAAGCACTCAAGCCCTGCTAGAAATAAAATTTATAACCTGTTTTCAGGAGCAGTCCTGCTCCTCTCCCTACTTTCTTTCAAAGTTTACTTTTAGGCTTGACATAACCCTTGTGCATTTGGCAATCAATTCTCTGGCCCTCCAGCCTCATGAGGAGGCTTATGTCGACTCCCACTTCTCTATCAACACGGAAGCATTTTGGGTCAGACTACGAACAACCCACGTGGTTCCCTTTGTAGGACCGTCTATATTTCTAGAAAATATCACTCACTATCCATGGCATGAAGATATTCCATATGAAGAGCCCCGGCTCCTGCAGTGGCAGCTGAAGGAATGATGTCTGCATACGGGCTGCGCTGGCCTGCCAACAGAGCCATCTGATGATAATATTCAGCTGGACTGACGCCAGCATGTGGAGCTAAAAAAAACAACATAAAAGTACCATTAATGACATAAGATAAACAAGAAGGAAAGTTTTATCACATTGCTGGCTTCTCTGGCCATTAAAACAACTTGTTTATTTTTTAATGTAATGCAGTATCTGCACTGTGCCACCACTGGTCAATATATTTCAACCAATGGTATGGTAAAGACATCATTCAAAAAACAGCAAGACCTAAAATATTAATGAGCTTGGTGATCTCATATTTTTGTATTTATTATTAAGTGACTCAAAAAGTGACAGGCTGACAGCAATGGAAACTAGTATGATTTATTTAGTGACATAAAAAAGCAGGAAAACCTTCCTAACATTTTATTCACATTTACCTCATCCTGGCTCAGAGGAAGCTGTCTCTAAGGTAACAGGGTGAACTTCCATAAGCATTCAGGTATCTGGAGTCTCTGCTTAGGAGACTAGAAGATTCTCCCTCACCATGTCCCTCTGTGTCTGTGCTTAGTAGCAAACAGGGATAAAGCATGATTTCAGGACAAATAATAGCTGTCCATGAACAACAGAGGGTCAGTTTTTTAGGAGGACAGATTGAAGTCAATAAATGTGACCATCCATCCTTCAAAGTTCATGTATAAATATACTTGATACACAAGCCTATTTGCAGAGTCAAAACCACAGACTGAACAGACTCTACATCCCATCAGTGAGGTTATCGTGATGCAGTCCTCTGAAAATGACTTGTATTAGCTGTTCTCTCATGTAAAAATAACATGAGAGCTTCCTGTTCCCCTCCAATTTTTAAGCAGGTCATCAACTAATGGGAAACCCTGGACAAATACAAAAATTGATATCACTTAAAGATCATCTTTTCTCAGCAGGCTTCAGATGCTACTGAAGGTAGAGAGTCATTTCATAAACTTCAGTAAGACGTACTCATAAAATAAGCTGGGCTCCCCCTCCTTGATCTTGACCCTGACCCACCATGAAGCTTGAGGTGAACAACCCTTCTCTCTGATCGCTCCCTGTCCCACTTGCAAAACAGTTTGGTCACAACACCATGATATGTAAGCTTGCCTAAAACACTTAGGGTTCATTAGGTCAATGTGCTGCACCCCAAGCTGGTACAGCAGATTATTTTTATATTCTTTCATATCATTCAATGAGATTTTTCTTTAATCTCAGCAGCTGAATCTTGAATGAAAACAAAACATCGGGCTGAAATTCTTTGAATATTGTTACCTACACAGAGCTAAAGATAATTTATATTTTCATTAGAAAATCAGATCCTAAATGCAAACCTTATAAACAAAGAATTAAGATTTACACTTTTAATTAATGTTCTTTTGAACATAAACAAGGCATTGCAATTTGGAGAAAAGTTAATTCAGCAACAGATTGCTGAAGTGTATAGTCCGCCTTTATTACTTCCAAATAAAATGAAAGAATATGCTTTTGATGTTGAAATGTTAAACATAACATGTAAGAAAGGGTTGTGAAAAATAGATGTATGTCAAACAGGAATAGGAATGGCATAAAAAATGAGCTGAGATAAATTAAAAGTTGCTGGTATTTTTTCAAATTACAAATTGATTTCGCAATAAATACAATCTTTCCACTTTCTGTGAAATGGTAAAGAAATAATTCAGACCAAATTTTAAAAGATGGGTAACTCACACTGAATCACTGATTTTAAAGTTTTACAGTAGTAGGCAACCATGGTATATTTCCAGACAGACTGAAAATACTTCCTGAGCTTTCTGACATAAGTGTCTGGGTTAACTAACAGTAACATTGGCTGCAAACTTTAAAATTAACTGCTGCAAAAAACATAGTGAACACATAATTACTAAATGTTCTAAATGTTTCATATGCCAAGAAATGTTCTAGTGCTCTTAAAAAATTATTCCTTACTACCCCTCTCAAACATAAAAAATTAGCCTACTAAATGATGCATTGCATGAAGGGAAAATGCAAATGTAGGGTAAATGGGAAGACCCTGAGTCCTGAATTTTTTCCTGTTTATTCCCGGGTAGCTCCAGCTTTGTCCCCTTTTTCCTATGAGCAGGGGCATTTTCTTCTGCACCACAGGTAGAGCTGAGCTTCATTTGAGCACTTTCCTGGACACACACCAACAACTCCATCCTTATCCCAGTCCAAATCCTCGGAGAAGTCCTCAGCCACCCCTGACCCACCAAATCTGCTGGCTAAGGAGAAGCTACAAGAGTTATGTTCCAGATTGTTCTGGCTCCTGGCCAGCCCCAGATCTGTGAGTTGACAGACTGAGCCCAATAGTACACTGATCTGATTATCTAAGTGTCCTAAAGCAATTAGGCAGCAAGAGAAACCTCATTATGGCTTTCAGAAGAGCAATAACAACTTCCAAGTTTTCAGAGTTCAAAGACTATATCACTTAAGCCATGGTGTCCTTTACATTATTAGTACATTATGTGCATATACCCCTTTAAAGCACAGGAGCGTTTCATTTGCATTCCAGAAGTGCTCAAGCCATGATTCAGATTCTCTGATCCCAGGAACCCATATCCGAGAAAAGGCATTTTATTGTATACCTGATTGATCATACAACAGACTATGGATTCCAGGGAACAAACCTGAAGCTTTTCAACAGCATGCTGTTTGATTGAGATATCTTCAATGCCTCAGTCAAGTTACTGTATTTTCATTGGATGCTGCGCAAAACCAGGGCTGTGGCAACTGATCAAAGATGAGCTGTGAGCCTACAGCAAGTGTGAAGTAACATGTTTGTTTAAAACCTGAAGAGAGATGCTTGAGGTAGTAAATTTAGCATGTACTTATGACAGATTATGACACGGCCAGCAATCACAGCTCAGGGGATGAGCATTAAGACAGAGTGTACTCAGCTGTACTGTCCACACCTGAGTGTCTCGTGCCATCTGAAAGCCTGGGAGTATCCAAGCTACATCGGCTGGCAGAAGAAAACTGTCTTTCTGAGGTGGCAGGTGGAGTTGAGGCAGGGTATTTCACAGACCTAACTGACACCAAACACCTGCACTGCAGACAGATGAACATTAGCACAATCATAATTATGACAGAGCTCCAGACTCAACTGCTAACATGCCAAGTGTCCATTTCTTGGGGAACTGAACAGTTCCTTGAGGCCTCACTACCTACAACTCACTAGACTACAATGGCAGAACAACACAGAAAGATCACACATTTCTATACTGTACACATCTATATTTAGGTGGCAGAATCTGAATCCAAATTCTACCTTGTGACATCTCTGGATGTTTCTTGAGCACCAGTTGGGTGCTGGGTCAGAGAACACTGTGCCTACATCTTCGCAAGTGAATCCAGTGTGGTACACCTGAGACCAAGCCTGTATACAGCTTAATGTCATAGGTGGTGATAGGTGGTTTCCTTCAAACCTTTCTTTATGTGGCACTGGAACATACCTTAAGCATAAATGAAACTCTGCAGGAATGGGACCTGAAGAGTATTGAAGATAGCAAGGTAATAGCACATTAGCTCCTGTGAAAAATCCCAGATGTACACCGCAGGAGTTTTCCCAATATATGGCATTACATTATAGCTCTGTCATTTTTGTCCTACATCTAAAGCTTCAAAGCTCCTAAAGTCAAAACTTGCCCTTCTAACCATTCAAATTTTTTTTTCTTAAAAGTATTTCTAAAAAAAAATACTTCTGCTAAAACAAAAAGGGTAGAATCAGGAAGAATTCATGCAACATCCAAAGTGCTGCTAGGAAAGCCCTATGTGCATGCCATATACCTTGACTGACAATAGGTCATTAAAATTTATTCTCATAAGAATATGTGCCCATAACTAATGGATTAACTGTAAAGGTATATATTCTTATAAACGAGGATTAATTAGTTATCCGTTTGGATAGGGTGCACTGCTCATTTTTCAAATTCAGCTAAAGGCAGTTTAACTCTGGTAAGTTTCTGAATTCACTGGGAAGATCTTTCCTATAGTTAAAGTATCAGTTTAATTACCTTTCTCTACATAGTTGATTCTGACTATGTTATATTTTAGTTCCCTTCAGTAAATGGTACAATTTTGAAATGTCAAACTGCTTATGCTTACCCACTATTGAAAAACCTATTAACAAGACAGCCTTTTTTTTGCAACTCTGTTGATGGCCCACTTTGGCAAAATTCCCACTGAAATGAATAGGAAATGTGCTAGAGTAATGACAAGAGTGATCACAGGAGTTCACTTTAGCCCAAATAGCCTGGAAAGTAAAAGCTATTGTCACACCAAGACCTAAAGCACTGAATTTCAAGTATACTGCCCACAATTTAGATTAAAAGAGACAGTCTTGATCATTAGACACTTCTACATAAGCATCATTTGTTTTTGGCCATGTTTCTGGCTAAAATAAGCTGAAATAATTCTACATAACTTCAACAGAATTATTGACTAAATGTAACTAGTCAGTGCATGCTTTTTATGATTGAAAAATACTGTTTTAATTAACAAGCCTTTTGTGCCTGAAGAACTCCATGGTCATACACTGATGCACACTCATAAAGAATCTAACTCAATTTAGTGCAGGTAAAATGGATTTTTGGGAGATCAGAATTACACCCCATGTCAGCCCCACAAACAAAAGATATCACAAGACACATACCACCCTTCCAGCATAAATTTTGAATGAGGCAGCTTTTTTTTATCTTCTCCCTGAAGTTTCAACATTTGTGAGATGTACAAATGAGCCATCATCGGCTGATGAAGTATTGAAACATTTATGACATAATGAATATGTCTGACAAACCTGGTGAAGCTGCTTTGAACAAGGGGGAAAAATGTTGACAAGATTAATATAACTTAAGTTGCTACAATGACAGAAAACAGGAAGCCTGTCTTAACCCACCGTCTGTTGGGCTGAGTCCACGGGCTGCCGAGATCATGGAGAGGGATGGGCTGCTGTGCAGGGACCTGATGTAGTCCATGTAGGGGTTAATGTATGGGTGAGGGGTGCTGAAGGGAGACTCTGATGTTGCAGCAGGATTTCGGTGCGGGGAAATTCTAAGGAATGGCAGCTCTGAGTATGTTGGGCTACTAGATAAGGCAGAAGGCCTGGAAGAAACAAAAGGAAGAAAAACAAAACCAGCCAGGTTATCTACACAATAAAGAAAAATACTATAAAGGTAACACACTTGTTTCTTGAAGAATAACAGCTGGGTAGCACATGTACTGAAGTCAACTGCCTGGAAAGAAAAAGATGGGAAATTAATTCTTCTGTGTCCCCACTATTAGCAACATTTATCTAACCAATTTTAACATGACTTTATATTTGGTTTAATCTTTACACCCGTCAATACCCTTTCCCTAAGGAGTCAAGGAGAAAATCACTTCAATTAGTGCAAAATATGCACACAATATTACATAATAGTTCTTACTGCAATATGGAATACATACTGAGATTCAGAATCATTTACATCTTAAAAACCACATGGCTATTGAAAAAGGAGCTTTGAGCACCACACTGCACCCATGCCCTTCATTTTCCAGCTTACTCCTTCTGAAAGTGCAAGTTGGCATGTTTATACAGAAACCACTTCAGGAGTCCCAGATTTTGCAAGCCATTAAGACAGACGGGTTCTTTGGAGCATTTTTTTTTCTTGCTGTCCCTGCCCATGAAAAAGGCACAAAACTTGATGGCAGAGTAAGAAAAATTGCTGCATATGTGTGTTTTTAGTATGGCGCCAGTGACCAATGTTTTTAAACAAGACCCCATTAATTAACTACATCATTTTTGTGAAGGAAAAGCTTGGTGCCTTCTCATGCTATGTGTGATGAACCAAGGCTGAAAGCTGACAAAAGACAAATAACCTGCCATAATCCTCCCCATCATCCCACCCTGTCGATACGACACTATCTGGCCTCTGCTTTTGTCTCACAGCATCCCATCTCCAAAGGCACTTGAAAAAGTTCAAATTTCATCACAAGGGGCTGGAGTGCCTGCCCTTGCCAACCTGCACTTTGGCAAAAGACAATGATTAAGCCTGTCATGCATTTGCTGTAGTCCAACTGGCTGACCTGAACTAAATGCCTTTTTGTCCCTGTTTTTCCAATTAATTTAGCATATATACAGCACAGACACAGGCAGCAGCTGTGAGAGCAGTGAGGGCAGCCTGTTCCTTTGATGCTGTTGGCTTACAAAGAGTAATCAAACAAGAAATGTATTTTTTTTCCCTTTAACATACACATATCACGATCAATGGAGGTAGTTGTCATCACCTAAAAGGCCAACAGAACATAATCTTACATAGGAGCCAATTCTGCCCTGCCATCAGCTAGGAAATGCTAGCATATGAGTGGGACAGTAATCAAAGTCATGAATTCCTAACATGACGCCAGCTTCCCTGCCACTAAACCCATGAGGGCTTGTAAAATCTGAGGAATGAAGATTTCTCCTGATGTGTTTTTCTCCCTCTTTTCCCTTCCCTCTCTGACCTTTTTTGTGTTTCTTGCCCTCCAACAGCTTTTTGCAAGGTAAGCCTGTTTAGCCTTCCTCTATGAAAATACCTCCTAGCTCCAAAGTTTGTTAGAGAGCTGCATTTTGTGCTAGCAGCAGGTACCAACAGTGCAGTCTCTCCTCTGGCACTCAAGCAAGTGACCCACATAAAACTAAGCCACTCACTCGCATGCTTTCAGCATATCTGAAATGCACTGGGAACCTGAAACCAGAAGCTACTTTCCACCACTGTGCAAACCAGACATCTCCTTTCCTCAGAGAACTTTTTGTCTGCATGGTTCTAAAGTACCTCTGTTTTACAGTGGAAATGCATCTTTTACCTTTGTACTATGAAAGCCCATCAGACATCAAATATTCGTTGTCTCCTGATTCCTTGTCAGGCCAAGTTTGGTAGACAAGAACTTTAAAAATCATGGTGATGTAGGAAGCAAAAGTACTACAGCTGGGTATCACATTACAGATGAATACAGAGTGAATTTTCTATCCTGGAAGTGAGGAAAATATAGTAGTACAGCAAATTTATACAAGAGTAAAAAAGAAACTAAGTCTGGATGTCATTTTACAAGAGATTATTTTTAAATGTGATCCCAACGCATATTTAGAAACACGAAGAGCATGCAAGCAGGCTGGGGCCCTGGCCTTATCTGGTGCATATTGAACAGAGAACTCTTTAAATGCTTATGCAAGAAGGCTGAAAGTCTGTATCGGCCCAGTGATTCACTCTCCAGCTGGCCAACAGCCAAATGCTGCCGCAGGAGCAAGATTAAGAGCCAGGCTCTCAGCTTCTCCCTCCAGATCCAGCGAGAGCCATTCAAGGACACCAGGACTCCACTGCTCTTCTCAGCCCTGACTCTTTCTCTCTCTCCTCTTCTGAGCTCCTCAGTTTTCCCAGGATGCTAGGGAAAGGACACTGACCTGGGTAACATAATCAACAGCAGGCATATAAATGGTATTATCTGAGGCAGAAAAAAGGAATCATCAGATTCCACAAAGAATTCCCAGCTCTGGACTCTGATGTTTCTTAATTTCTCTCGATGATCTGATTCTAACAGGCTGATAACTTCTGCGCTCACTTTCAGTCTGGACTTCTCTCGCTCCTCTGTGTTCCCAGACTCTCCTTTCCCTACAGACCCATTTTCCCTCATGCTTTTTTCATCTGCTCTCAGGCCCACAATTTGAGTCATCCTGATTTATTCCAATAAATGTCACATATCCTTCCTTTCCCTCTGTGATTAAACTTCACTGTGAACACCTTTCACAAGTATTAACTCCCTCCTTCAAACTAAAATGCAGCTTTTAGAAAGGGTGCTGCCAAACACCCTTACTGTTGCTTTGCAACATCATTGTTGCGATAAAGAACAACCTTCATCCTGTAAATAGCAAACAGTACAGCCCAGGAGTGGCTCTGCAGATATTCATTCAGTGACAATCAAATCAAATCTCCAGATGTGGGTGGCAGTCCATCCCCCTAATTTTTATTTCACATGTATAGAATAATAGAATGGTTTGGATTGGAAGGTACCCTTACAGGTATCTTCTAGTCATCTAGTCCATGATGTCATGAGCAGGGAAAGAAGCTGGGGACCCTCCTTCAAACTCAGGACCCTCCAGCCCAGCATCCTGCAACCTAGCCGTGCATCCTGTTGAATGGCACTCTGCCTTGGGTCTGAGGCTACTCCATGGGAGGTGATGAGGCTTGAGAATTACAAGAGGCAAGGAGATTTTCAGTGGTACTTCTTGACAATTTATGCCTCACCTGTAAACCATGGGAAAGCAGAACTTGCCCTGCATCTTCTCCTGTGCAGGGGTTCTTCTGTTATACAAGATATTCAGACCACTTAAGGGAGGGAGCAAAGAAGATGTATTCAGCTCTTTGCTGAATCAGGACCTCTGTGTCTACTTCTAGAGACCCTGCAAACTCAATTCAAATTTCATATAACGCTGATCACACTTTCAAGATGTAGTTGAAGGTCTCCAGGTTTGTGGGTAAAAGAGATCCTGTGACTGTGTTTTGCCACTAATTTTTATCCTGGCACATTAGGATGACTTTATTATTTTCTTAGTAACCTTGATTGTATCTACAACCCTGACATAAATGAGTAGAAACAGTGAACAGGGCTAGCTGTGAAGGCATCTCCTCCTTCCTCTCTAGAAGGCCTTCCTGTTCATTGCTAAGGTGCTGAAATATCATGAGTGCCACACAGTTTCCATATCTACCACAGGACTTCCCACTCCTCAGCCATACCCAGCATGCCAACTTCTTTGTGTCCCAACTCTGATGCTCTGGGGAATCTCAACTACTCAGCTCGTGAATGGCACACACATGCTGAGACAGGGAGATCACTGTAAGGGCAAACAGGTGTATTTTTTCCTATTAGTCATGACACTTTGATGAATTGTTGCAGAGGTGTCTGCACAGTCTTAAAAACTTACATAGTCACACCAGGTCAGCAGCTGTAAACAGCATCAGTTGTAGGGCAAACCGCAGTATGTGTAAAGCTGCCTTTTTAAAAAAATGGGGTTTTTTTTCTGACCACTGCTGAACCACAGGTGAGCTATCTGTAGAATTTCAGTTATTACTCATGTAAACAGCGTGCAATTTTGTTTTGTTGCTTACAGCTGCAATAGATGAACTGTGCACAAGAAGAATGACAAGCAGCAGGTTTGGATTTTAACCACCACAAAAACTGAATCAAATGCAATTCCCTTTTCAGCTCATACAGCTCTTTTTTAACTGGTAAAGGAAGATCATGGGAATCTGAGAGTTGATGAGGCAAGCACGAGCAAGTTATACATATTTCAAAATGATCTGCATGCACAGATCATTACCTAGTATTATCTTGAAAGGATCACACATTCTGTCCATCAGCAGAAAAAAACTGAGATACGGGGACTCCTACCACATACTTTAGGCTGGCTTTTTGTACTTAAAGCACTTGCCAGTTTTACAAAGAGGAAGGTAAGATTGCCCATATTCAAATCCTATCCCTTTCTTTGCTACTAATGGAACAGCTAACTTGAGGTGAAACACTGCTGTCTGGCTATGACTAGAGGTGAAAGTCCCTGGGTAGGTAAGCCAGCACAGAGCTTGTTGACTATGAGCTCTTTCAACCACCTTCTCAATGCTCTACTGACGGGATTAGAGGATCAGCCCAAAGTCCATGAAACCATCTTATGTGGATTCACGCATGAAACTGAGTTAGGAATTGTGGAGGGGGGGATGGAAAGAAAAGAGACCCAGTTCAGGGTGCTGGGGAGCAGCAAAGGCCAGCTGCTCCCTAAGAAAAGGCAAGCCAGGAGCCACGCATGGGCAATGCACTTCATGCCACCAGATCTCAGTGACCAGAGCCAGATGCTACTAACACAGTCCATCATGAGTCTGAGACAAGGAAAATGACAAACCAGGTCTGGGTTGGGCCAGTCAAGTGCAGAAGAAGACAAGGACAAAGACAGATTAGGAAACAAGTTACACCATGGTTCTGAGACCTCTATCCAGAACAGCTCCCTACAGTGCAGATCCTGACCTCAGCCAGGAGCAGGACCACAAACTGGCACTACTTACAACATAGGTCAGGCAGCTCAGCTAAACAGGAATTCC